AGCTTCTTTAGAGTACTTGAATTGATAAAATAGTGGAATGATTTGTAACCCTACTGACATGTGCATTGAAAAACAGTTAAAATAGATGGTTTTTATGTGGATTGCCACAATTGAAAAAACGGTTTTAAGTCAGGGATGCTATAGATCTACAACCTCTTGTCCACAACTGTGCAATTCAGAAAGCTCTGAAAACCACAAGCCTTGATTGTAGTTGTCCCAGTCTCTGCTGGTGAGTTACATAATAAATGGTTCAGATTTCAGATAAAGGATGGTTGACCTGGGTTCTGGTAATATCCCCTTTTCCTCTTTAGATGCAAGCAGGCAGATCGACTGTGGAGACCTGATCCATCCGCACCCTAACTAGTCAATGCATCATACTCTCTGGTTCTGGCTGCTTGCTGCTCTGGCCAAATCAACAACTGTGTGAAGTACTCAGAAGCACCTCTATGCTTCCTTTTCCTACTTCCTTTTAGCAACTTCAGTTCTCACTTCAGGACAGTGTCTACACAGTAGACACCAGTAAGTCAGGCAGATCAGGCTCTGCCCCAACTGCAGTGCTGTTGCAGAGTGCTTACCAGGTCACGTCTGGGCACACTGGACACAAACTGTGCCCCCTGACAACCCAGGATGAATCCTGCAAGGTTTAGAAGGACACAAACCACAGAGAGCAGCATGAAGAGATTTACCTGGAATGGAAGAAAATGGGCAGTTAGAAAAGGGGCCGAGCCAAACATGCAGGTGGCTTTGTGTGGAGATGTATGTATTTCTATTATATATTGTAATTAACACGTATTGAAACCTAATATTTCTTTCAGATGGAAATTTAAAGAAATAAGTAAAAATTCAAAAGTTACAACTTTAAGGGGACTGGAGAACTGGCTCGGCAGTTAAGAGCATTGGCTGTTCTTGCAGAGGACCTGGATTCAATTCCCAGCTAACAGTGGCTAACTGGAGTCTGTAACTCCAGTTCCAGGGGAATCCAACACTCTCCTGACCATCACAGGCATTGCACAACATGGGTGAACTTACATATATGCAGGGAATACACTCATACACATAAAATAAAAGTAATTTTTTTTAAAGTTACAACTTTAAGAAAAAAGTAAAATCATGTTTTTACATATTTTGGGCACATTTCTGAATGCCACAGGTTCCAACATCTTCTTAATAATTTTGTCTCTCTTTTCTTCCTCTTTGAAAAGATTTTTTCCTCCTTGATTTTTTTTCTTTTTTCTTTTTGAGACAGGGTCTTTTCTGTAGCGCCAGCTGGCCTGGAACTTACTATGTAGACCAGACTGGCCTTGAATTCACAGAGATTCACCTGCCTTTGCCTCTGCCTCCCAAGTGTTGGGTTTAAGGCACGTGCCACCACGGCGGCTTCCTCCTTGACACTTTATATGTATTCTACACCAGGCCCTGGCAATTTCCTCCTTAAACTATTCTGACTTTGCCCACATTTTGCCAGTTCAGTAACAATCAGCAGGCAGATGGAGAACCCGGGGGTCTAAGTGGAACACAACGATCAAAGAGTTCAGAGTCATTAACACACAGAAATCATAGTATACAGGTGAAAATAAGGGGGGCTTTTTTTTCAGTTTGGAACAATTTGGCTTCTGAAGAATTTACAACAATCTTCCATGTACTTTTTTCCCAAAATTCAAAATAATATCACTTGAAATAATTAAGAACCAAATGGAGTCAATGAAGAAGCCAGTATTTGGTTGGTACAAATTAGAGATTAAACTAGTCTTTCAACTTGGGAGCTGTGACTATGACAAAAATGAAACCTTATCACAAATGAAACCTTATCACAAATACTAAAGCAAATACAAAATATCAGAGTCAATAACTATCAGTATTAAAACCAGTCCAGTCACCAACTTATCATCAACTTAGACAGTTGGTGATGTCAGAGCTGGCTGCCAAATGAGTTCATATATAAACTCTAATACAGAAAACTTATTCTTTTCTGTTTATTTCGAGTCAAGCTAGAAACATCTCCTCAGATTCACTTTGTATTTGATACCACATGATGCCACTTTTCCTGAGGGGCTCCTTCTTCCTCTACAACAGGAGTTGGTTTCTTTCCTTTTGTGATGCCTTTGTACACATGCTGTCACTGAATCTTTGGGGAAACCCTGCAGCAGCTGCTGTTGTGACTGTCACGAGCTGGATTCCCCAGTGACTGGAGGACTTGATGTGAGCAGCACACAGCGCATGTCCCTTGCACTATACCATTTATGCCAGAGTTCATGGGGAAAGCAGGAGGCATAACTGGCAAAGGACAGGGCACATTCTTCCCACATGGCCTTCTAGGCACTGCCAGTTGCAATTTGAAGTGATTTAATGTGTCTGCAATCTTCAGACCCAACAACATAGTCAGTGTTATTGCAGGGAAGTCTTAGATTTGGCTTTGGAAATCTTCTTTTAGTGCAATATGAGAAGCCTTGAAAAGAAAGTGTGATTGTGGTCCTTAGGCCACCAGCACACCACCAATTGTTACAACTAAAAAATAATACCACACAGAAAATGCATGAAGGCCCATCACTCCCAACACTGGATCCCAAATCTCTTCACTAGACTTTTATCATGAAAAGACACAATTAATAAAGCAACAAAGTCAACAGGCATGCCACGGATTAGGAGAAAAATACTTTCATGAACAAAAAAATGTACTAATATATTTGTGTTTGTTTGTGTGTGTGCAGCTGCATGTGAACATGCACATGCGGAGGTCGGAGGACAACCCGAGGTGTCATTCCTCAGGTACCATCCACCTTATTCTCTGAGACTGAGTTTCTCACTGGCCTGGTAATCACTAATTAGGTTAAGCTTTGCAGACCAGCAAGCCCTAGGGATCTACCTGTTCCACGCCCCTAGCGCTGGGATTACAGGTGTACACCAACCACCATACCATGCTTTTTTCCCCTATGAGTTCTAGGGTTCCAAGTCATGTCTCATGTTTGCAGGGTAAGCACTTTACTAACTGAGCTATCTCCCCAGCCCCTAGAAAATATTTTCATGATAGATCAGTATGCAGGATATACAAATAACTCCTCATTTCAATAACAAAAAGATGGCCCAATTAAAGAATCTGGGGAAAAGACTCAGATAAACATTTTACACACACACACACACACACAAATAAAGAGAGAGACACTAGAATGGCCAGGAGGCACATGAAAAATCACTCAACATTACTAGTCATCAGGAATGTAAATTAAACCACAATGAGATACTACTACACACTTGCTAGTATGGCAACAATGTCAAAGCCAACAATGTCAGGTATTGCTGAGGATAAGGTGTGTTTAGACATTGTTATAGGAATAGAAAATAGTACAATCACTTTAGAAAATTGTCAATTTTTTAAAAGTGAAATATAAATCTTCCATGTAGGGGTACCTCAAATAATTCATGAAGATACTTACCCTAAATTCTCTACTCCCTAAATGTGAACCAGCCAGGGTAACTTCCTTCCAAAGAATACAAAATACAGAAAGGGAGGCAATCAATTTTCCAGTAGAGAAACCAGAAAAAAACTGCATCCTCTAGGGGACCAAGATGACCATTAGCGATGTCATGTCAGCAGCAGGGCTCCTCAATAAGGTGTACCAGAAATAGCTCTTTGCAACTGTGATCTTCCGCCTCTAAACCCATTGATGTCATGTCAGCAGCAGAGCACCTCAATAAGGTGTACCAGAAATAGCTCTTTGTAACTGTGATCTTCCACCTCTAAACCCATAGTACCCTCAGTCTAATCCCAAGTACAGCTTCAGACCATCTCAATCTTACAAAATGGCTCACTTCTCAAATCTGTTAAGGCCATCCAGAACAACAGATGCCTGAGAAGCTTCGGCTTCTCTTGACTGAAGCAGCTTCTCAGGCATCTGTTGTTCTGGATGGCCTTAACAGATTTGAGAAGTGAGCCATTTGGTAAGATTGAGATGGTCTGAAGCTGTACTCGGGATTAGACTGAGGCTACTATGGGTTTAGAGGCGGAAGATCACAGTTGCAAAGAGCTATTTCTGGTACACCTTATTGAGGAGCCCTGCTGCTGACATGACATCGCTAATGGTCATCTTGGTCCCCTAGAGGATGCAGTTTTTTTCTGGTTTCTCTACTGGAAAATTGATTGCCTCCCTTTCTGTATTTTGTATTCTTTGGAAGGAAGTTACCCTGGCTGGTTCACATTTAGGGAGTAGAGAATTTAGGGTAAGTATCTTCATGAATTATTTGAGGTACCCCTACATGGAAGATTTATATTTCACTTTTAAAAAATTGACAATTTTCTAAAGTGATTGTACTATTTTCTATTCCTATAACAATGTCTAAACACACCTTATCCTCAGCAATACCTGACATTGTTGGCTTTGACATTGTTGCCATACTAGCAGGTGTGTAGTAGTATCTCATTGTGGTTTAGTTTACATTCCTGATGACTAATAATGTTGAGTGATTTTTCATGTGCCTCCTGACCATTCTAGTGTCTAAGGGTGGTGGTGATAGGGGTGATTACAACTATCAGAACAGTTCACTGAACATTCCAGGTCTGGGATTTCACTGCATACCAATTATTTGTAATTTGTTTTGTTTTTAAGGGAAAATCAGAGTCCAACTGCCAAGACAGGAGTGTAAGATCAAATAAGAAATGGACAAACTTCTGAAAGGTCTGAATCCACAGTGAGATGCAGAAAGTGCCACCAGAGATCCCCCATACACTGCAGCAGCTGCCAACAGCAAGTCAAGACATGCCAGACTGCCATACCTGCAAACCCAGGAGCAAAGACCTGGGGCAGTGCATGTGGAATGTGTACACATCTGCCACATGCTGTTTCTCAAAATCATGCCCACACATGGCGGTGGTGGCATCATTATCACATTATCATCATCAACAACATCATTATTTAAACTCTGTTCAAATTATTTAACCAGTGGTCATCTGAATTATGCTAGTATAGACCACAGAGGCACATACCAAGGATGAGAGGTAAGAGACTGCAGGGCACTACTAGAGTTATAAAGGACTACAGGTCTTTCAGAGACTTTCAGAATGGACTCCCTCAGCTTTAACCTGGGTATGACAGTATGACTTCCAGATCTGAACGTCACTGCCACAAAACCCAGTCAACAACACCCAGAAAGAGGAAGAATTTCTTTCTTATGTTTTTATCATTCTTCCCTAAAAAAAAATTCTGCAGGTGCCTTGAGTTTCTCTTTCTGGAAAGCATCTGAAATTTGGGACGAGGATCCAATTCAAATTCAAGCTCTCTTACCTATTTGTCGCAAAATCCTCTGCAACGCCTTCAAGACTTGTTTTTTTCATCTGTTAAATGGATCTGTGTTCTTATCAACCTCAAGAAATTAATGTGTTATACAAGTTTTCCTATTTGAAACTCCTTTGAAAAACACTATACAGACACATATTACTAATAATAAAGGGCATTTCCTCTTTCTGAGGCTGCAATTTGTTATTGCAAAGTGAATTTCACTAACTCTGACACCAGACTTTCACTTTGCTGTGACACACCTGAATTGATGGCAACTGAAAGAACACTCAAATGGTGAGAATAATCTGCAGGTGAGAATTTCCGAAACTTCTCTAAAAGGAGTGACTTCTGCGGTCTCCTTTGGAACTCACTGGACACTGGGTTGTGGATCTCTGTGGACTCCTGCCTGTGTGCCT